TTCTGCAGTCTTCCAAGTTCTTTGGTGGTGAAATCCCACCCATCCTCCAATTCCCTTGTAGAGAAAAATCACCCTCTAGTGTTAGTAACAGGTTACGACTTGAGTTTCTTGATCAGAGACCAAATGACTCCCAGTTATCCTCACTTTCACTCCTATCCTCTTTTCTCACAGCTCTAATCTCAGTGAAATTCTACACAATTACTAGCAAGACCTCTAGGTTGAATGTGAGGTTTCAACAAACATCCTGCAAAATGTCAAAGATGACAAAAGATGAGAATAGTCAATGTTGGAAGGGTTGTGGGAAGATAGGCACACTGATACATTGCTGGTGGAGCCATGAATTGCTACAACCATTTTGGAAAATAAGGTGGAATTATTCAAATTAAGTGACTAAAATATTCATACTCTGACTCATATATATTCCATTATTGGGGTCATACCCCAGGAAGGTCATTGATAGAAAGTCTCCACATACACCAAAATATTTATAGCAACATTTTTTGTGTGTGATAAAGATTTGGAACATGTCAATTGATTGGGTAATGTCTTAAGTCATGGTACATGAATGTAATGGAATATGACTTGCTGTAAAAAATGATGGTTATGAGTACAGAAAAGCATGGAAAGATTTAAATAACCTGATGCAGAATGAAGTAAGCAGAGTCAAAAAAAAAAAAAAAAGCAATATACACAATCACCATAACAATGTAAATGGGAAGATACCCTCTGCTGTGTCAGTCAAACACACCTTTCTGGCCAGGTACTTTGACTATGACAAATGCAGAGGCAGAGGAGATCTGTGTAAATGGAAAGAATAGCCACAAAACATTTAAAAGTGAGTATTGCAAAACTGCAAAAAATAAGTATGACCCCAAAGAATGGATGTGAGAAGACAACCCTATTCCATCCATTTGCAGAGGGGGCAGGTTCATTAGTGTGTTGCATTGCATGTATTTTCAGACTTTTGCGCCACTTTAAATAATTTTGCTGATTTCTTTTTTATCTTTGAAAATTATTTGTTATATGGAATGACTGTGAAAGATACTGAAGAAAATTTTGGTGATCTAAAAAAAAAAAGAATAAAAAATGTATTTTCTTTAATCTTAATGTTGCAAAATTGCAAAGAACCAGCACTGGTCCAAAGAAGAGATGTGAGAAGACACCCCTACCTCTCCTTTTACAGAGATGAGAGGCCCACAAGTGTGGGACATGCAAATATTTTCAGACTTGTTCAGTTTTGCTAATTGTTTTCTTTTTTTTCTCTTAAACTGTTCTTTATTATATAAGATAGTTCTTTGGGAAAGAGAAGAAGGAAGAATACTTGGGAAATTTTGGTGATGTAAAACAAAATCTATATAATTTTTTCATGAAGACTTTTAGGTTGGAGACCATACTTCCCATATGCATTGGTCATTGCCCTGATCAGTATCATACATTTCATTTGTGCTATTAATTACATCTATAAGTTGCCCCTTAGTCTTTAGGGCATACTGCTAAGAATTCAAAGTACATTCACATTTATCTTGAGTTGATGCACTTTCATTTTCCTTATGCAGGTGTCCTAGGGTTGTTTTTTTTTTTTAGGACTATTAGCAAAAAAACAAGCCCTTGTAATACCTTCATTCTCCTAGTCAATATCCTTAAACACCCATTGGACTAATTCTGTAGTGTCTACCCCGTTCAGTCAGAAATAAAGCAACCACGAGGTGCCTCACTCCTATATCCAGCTATCCAAACACCCAAGCATCTATGCATTCTACATCACTCTTCCCCATCTTCAATCTCAAAGTTATTCTAACTTGTCTTGCAGATTTATCACCAAATGTTTTAGACCAAATCCAACTCAGGCCCAGCTGATATTCAGGCTTGGGTTTGAAACACAATGAAATACTCACAGACCATATAATATTTTATAAATAGAAGTTTACTTATTAAATGGCGATTCAATAGGGAAACATTGATTCAAGTGGACTCAGCTCCCCTCTGCATTTGCCTTGGTGGCAGTGCCTGGCCAGAAAGATGTGTTGACTAGCACAGCAGGGGGTATTCCATTACGCCTAAGAAATGCTAATAGGCTGGACTTTCTACTCTTCAGGAAACCAGGAAATCACATCAATGGCTTGAGCCTTAAGTCCCCTAGACCAATTCTCAAAGAAGGTTTCCTTGTCTTTTTAAGGAGAACATCTAGCCAAAATGAAACAAATGCTGCCCCTCCTTCATACTTTCAACTGGTCTCTTTTACCAGGACCAGATGAATTGTATCCTAGGACACTGAAAGGACTGGCAGGTATGATTAATGAAACATAGTCATTGATCTTTGAAAGATCATGGGAAATGGAATAGGTACCATAGGATTAGAGAAGGGAAAATCTTCCAGTTGTTTTTTTTTTTTTTTAGCTTTCTTGGTTTTTTGTTTTTTTATTTTAAAGGGGAGAAAGTCTATGAACTGTAGGCCAGCATCTTGACTTTTACATGTGGCAAGATTCTATCAATTCTGTTTAAGGGATGATTGGTGAATATCTAGAAAAAGGAACAATAATCAGCAAGCCAGCAAGCCTTCATCAAGAACAAATCATACCAGATTCATCTCATTTCATTTTTCAACAGGACTATAGTTGATAAAGGGAATGCTACAAATATTGTTTACCTGAATTTTAGCAAAGCATTTGGTAAAGTATTTTATATTATATGCTGTGGACAAAATGGAAAGATTGAGATAGATGACAGTACAGTTAGTTGGACTTGAAACTGGTTGAATGGCTGGACCCTAAAAAGTAGTCATTTAGAGTTTAAGTTCAACTTGGAAGATGGTCTGCCGTGGAGTATTCCCAAGAATTTGTGCTTACTCCTTTACTATTTAACTTTTTTGGTCAAAAACTTGGAAATATAAATAGATGACATTAGATTTGCTGGTGATGTGAAACTGGGGTGGAAAGCCAGTAAATATGCAGGATGACAGAGAGGGAATCCAACAAGATGCAGACGTGCTCAAACACTGGGCCAGATCCAGTCGTCTGAAATCCAATAGGGATAAATGTTAAATCAACTTAAGAATTAGAAAATGGGAAAAGGTGTAGTTAGCTAGTCAGCAGACTTTCTGAAAAAGATCTGGGTGCCTTGATGAGATACAAGCTCAGTGAGTCAACTGTGTAATACAGCAGCAGGAACAAAAAAAAAAAAAAAAAGCTAATACAACCTTCAGCTGCATTAAAGAAGGCACACTTTTCAAGACTAGGAAGGCACACTTTTCAAGACTAGGAAGGGGAGAGTTCTGTTGTACTCTGCCCTGATCAGATCCTATCTGGAATGTTGTGTTACGTGCCCAGGGCCACATTTCAGGAAGGACAGGGATAAGCTAGAAAGCATACAGAGAAAGGGAATCAAGATAATGGAGGGCCTTAAGGTCATGCCATTTGAGGCTCTGTTCAAAGAACTGGAGATGCTTAGCCTGAAGAAGAGAAGCCTCCAAGGGAAGGGAACAAGCATTTATTAAGCACCTACTATGTACCAGGCACTGTGATAAGCACTTTACAAATACTATCTCATTTTTGTACCTCATAACCTTGTGAGGTAGGTATTGCTGTTATTCCCATTTTACAGTTGAGGAAACTGAGACAGAGGTTAAGTCACATACCTAGGGTCACATAACTAATAAACGTTCTTTTTACAAAACTAATAAATGGCTGGATTTGAAATCAGGTGTTCCTGACTCTGGATCCAGCTCTCTATCTATTGTACTGCATAACTGCCTTTTTGTTAGCAAAAGTAACACATACTTAGTCAGTTGCAAACACACTTATTAGATGTCTGGCTATTTCTTTTATGGAAAGCCTCTATGGTGGAGTAGTCATTTTGAGTGAAGTGAATGATGTAGCAAAATAATATATCCCCTCCCATCCCTGTCCCCACCCCCAGCTAAATCAGGGGATCAAAATCATTGTCCAAACAACACAGCCCATGCTTTCCTGGCTTTACCTCTACTTAAAGTGTCCTTTCTTCCCACTACCCCACATCTCCATCTACTGAAATATTATCCATCCTACAAATGCCAATTCGAATGCCACCTCTACCATGAAGTCTTCCATGGATGTACATGTAAGATTGAGAGCTTAGACCTGTATAATCTGAGCTCATTTACTCCAGCCTCTTTTAACAGACAGGGAAACCATTCCCAAGAGGTTAAAGGACTTGTCCAAGATGACCCAGGATGGGGTTGCTGAGACAGGAATTATAGTCAAGTCTTCCAACTACATATCCAGTGTTGTTTCAGGCACACCAGACTGCTGAGGGCTTTGTCCTCCCAAGGCAGGGACTAGGGGCAGCTCCTTCATAGGCAACTAGGAGAGGACAGGGAAAGGAAAGCAACCAGGAACAGTTTTTAAACTCCTTTTTTTTTTTAAAGGCACAGACAGTTACACTTTTTATGGAACACAAATAATGATTTTGCAATGTTAAGTTGCATATCCTCCAGTGAAAGTTCAAAACCTCTGGTGGATAGTAACTTAGATCAAAGGATACAATTTTTAGACCTTACCTAAGGCAGGCAAATGCCTTTCATCCTTCAGGCCACAAACGATTTGTCCCTCTTCAGGATTTCCTCAGTCCTTTGTTCTGACCTCAGTCACACACTAGCCACACCAAGTTTTGTGTTCTATTTATTTCTTTATATATCTTATTCCCCTCTAATAGATTATAAGCACTTTGAGGGAAGAGGTTCTATCATAAACTGTATCCCCCACCAGCAGCTAGAATAATGACTCAAATACAGCAAGTAGGCAGTCAGTATTTGTGGAATGTTGAATGAATGAATGGATGGATGAATGAACGGACAAAGGGAACACTGGTCATCCAGCCTTTGCTTGAATACTTCTAATGGTGGAAACTTGCTAAATCACAAATTTTCTGGTTGTTATATCAATTTTCAAAGTCAAATTGAAATGAATTGTAAACTTCAAAAGGTCAAGGACCATAGATTTATATTTCTTTTTTATCTTCTCCAGGGTTCCTAGTGCAGGGCTCTGCACTCAAGGGGATACTATCTATGCTAAGGATCTCAAGGGACTCTATGGTGTCATTGAAAACATTATTGTCCTCATATAAGAGGAGAAAACTGAGGCCGATAAGACTTACCAGAGGGTGTCAAAGTCAAAAACAGAGACCTGAGACCACTGACACTATCTCTGTTCCAAGCATAGGCTGGTTTCCCTCCTAGAAGAAAAAATGAAGAGCCCTGAGGAATACCTCTTTACCCTCCAGATTATCAGGAGCTGTGAAATGTTCCTAAAAAAACAAACACACACACAAAAACAGAAGCAGGCTTCAATCAGGGGAAAAGAACCTGAAATAACAGAGGGGAAACTTGACCCTTGTCAGGAAGTTGGAGAGTTGAAGGATATGATCCTATGGTCTCAGGAGGAGTAAAGGAAGGAAAAGGACAACTGTACCTGGGAGCTTAAAAGAGAATGAGAGAGAGAGAGAGAAAGAGAGAGAGAGAGAGAGAGAGAGCCTGAAGAGGAAAGAGTGGGGTGCCCTAAGAAGGAAGCGATTGCTTGACTTCCAAGGACTGAGGAAGAGCCACAGAAGCTATCAGGTGAGAGATCATTTGGTAAAGGTCAGAATACTTTGGTGGTTGGTGTCTCTGCACCCAGGGGGACAGAGGCAGCTGTTTGTTGACCTGATAACAACAAAAGAGAAGTAACTGAAAACATCCCAAGACTTGTCAAAAATGGGTGATGGCCACCCCATCTGGTGATTCGCTTACCGGTTCCTCAGTTTACCCATTCCCCATCACTGACTCTTCCACTCCCCCTCATCTTCACAAAGAGGTGGCCATTGTCCACAGCTGTTCCCCTTCCATGTTCATGAACTCTGACATTCCCTTATCTGGCCAGAGTCTATTGTCACTCTACCTTTCCCTCTGCCTTACAACCCCTAAGCCTGCTTTTCATCCTCACTGTGACCTCCAATTCCTCTGCCCCTCAGTTCTTTCCCAAGCCAGGAGATTTACGTGAGCTGCACTCTCTTCCCTTCCCCATCTTGACCCCTAGGTGAATCAGTTCACTTCTACCCTCTCCTCCTGAGACCTTGGACCCCTTATGCTATCACTGATCTTACCCTGCCGAGCCTCAGCCTTGGATTACCCCCACCATCCATTGGTTCCTGCTCCCTTACCGCTGAACAGAGCTGGAGAAAATAACAAAGCTGGGCTGCCTAAATCCTCTACAAATTTATGTTACATAATCTCAAATAGGTTTTCCCAACAGCTGTTCCTCCATCTTTTTACACCCCCCCCAATCAATTCACTCACTATTCCAGTCACCACAATGGCTTTTCCAAACCTTTAGAAAACCTTTTCACCCTTGGCTTCACCCTTTCAGTGAGAACTTTGACTCATGTAACATGGGGAAAAAAATGAGGTCATCTACCAAGAGTCCTCTCTTCTCCCCTCATCTCATACTATTTACATGCCTTCTGTCTGTATCTCCTCCTTCACCCCTATATTATGTAAAGAGATAGCCTTTCTCCTTACCAAAGCAAACCTTTCCCCATGAACAAGTGAGCCAATTCCCTCCTGTCTTCTCCAATAGATTAAAGTCCCCTCTGCCATCCACACTGTCTCATTAATCTTCAATCTCTGTCTGCTGGCTACTTCTCTGCTGCCCACAAACAGATCCAAGTCTCCCTTAACCTCAGAAAACCTTCTCTTGATCCTCCCATCCAAGGGGTGTGCTGGAGCCAGCTTGTACTGATTCATAAGAGCTAATTGTTAAATTTTCAGTGGGAACATTTACACCTCAGAAATTGACTAACACTACAAAATCAGGGCTTAAGTCATATTTTTTGTTGATTGTCTGTACTTAAGAAAGTGATGGCGAAAATGGTAGTGATGAAAATTAAACTTAAAAGGGTGTTCTTTCAGAGCACTGGTGGTTAAACTTTTACCAGCACACCACTGCCTCTGTCCCTGGTAGTTTTCATCTTATTTCTCTCCTCCTCTTTGTGGCTAAACTCCTCGAGAAGGCCATCTACAACTGGTGCCTCCACTTCCTCTCTTCTTCTAAGCCCTTTGCAATCTAGTTTTTTACCTCATCATTCAACTGAAACTGCCTTCTTCCGAGTTACCAATGATCTCTTAATTGCCAGATCTAATGGCCTTTTCTCAATCATCATTCTTCTTGACCTCTCCGTAGCCTCTGACACCATTAATTACCCTCTTCTTGACACTCTCTTCTCTCTAGGTTTTGGCAGCACCTCTCTTTCCTGATTCTCCTTCTACCTGTCTGACCACTCCTTCTCAGTCTCCTTTGCTGGATCTTCATCCAGCTTGTACTTACTAACCATAGGTGTTGCCCAAGACACTGTCTTGGGCCTTCTTCTTTTCTCTCTCTATACAATTTTTCATCTGCTCCCATGAATTCCATTATCATTTCTATGCAGATCTATTTGTCCAGCCCTACCCCCTCTCCTGACTTCCAGTTACATCTCCAACTGCCTAGTGGACATCCCATACTGGATGTCCCATAAACATGTTAAACTCAATATGTCCAAAATAGAACTCATTATCTTCCCCTCCAGCCACCCAACCTCTCCCTAATTTCCTAATTTTCCAATTGGTAAGGTATCGCTATCCACCCCTTCACCCAGATTCAAAACTTTAATGGCAACTCCTCACTCGAATTTGGCCCTCTTATCCAATCTGTTGCCAAGGCCTGTCAATTCTACCTTTGTAGCATCTCTCCTATAGACTTTCTTCTCTTCTCTGACACTGCCACCACCCTGGTGCAGGCCCTTATCACCTCATGCCGTGTCTATTGCAATAGCCTGCTGGTTGATTCCCCCTTCTTCAAGTCTCTCTCCTCTCCAGTCCATCGCCCTCTCAGCTGTCAAAGTGATCTTCCTAAAGCACAGGCCTGACCATATTGCACCCCTGTTCAGTAAACTCCAGTGATTCCCTATTTCCTCCAGGATCAAATACAAAATCCTCTGTTTGGCTTTTAAAGTCCTTCCTAACCTGGCCCCTCCAACAATTCCAGGCTCCTTACTCTGTGACCCAGTGACACTTGCCTTCTTGCTGAAGCTCAAACAATATACTCCATGCCCTGACCCCGGGCATTTTCACTGGCCATCTTCCATTCTCTGAATGCTCTCCCTTCTCATCTCTGCCTCCTGGATTCCCCGGATCCCTTCAAATCTCAGCTAATATCCTGCCTTTGCAAGAAGCCTTCCCTGGTCTCCCTCAATGCTAGTGCCTTCCCTCTATGATTATCTTAGATTTATGCCATATAGATCTTCTTTGTACATAGTTGTTTGCATGTTGTCTCTTCTATTCAACTGTGAGCTCTCTGAGGGCAAAGACTGTTTTTGCCTTTGTTTATATCCCCAGTGCTTAGTCCAGTGCCTGGCTCATAATAAATGCTTACTGACTTGACTTGATGAGCACACACCGCCCCCCACCCCCAGCATCCCCCCCTTAGGTTCTAGTTCATTGCTTTCCCACACCAATGTAATGACAGTTCCCCACCCCCTGAGCACACAAAATGACTGCATCTGCCCCTACTCTAACATTCCTTCTCTGTTGGACCCAGCTGTATCAGCAGGTAAGGTTCATTAGAACGTATGGAGTGGAAGAGAAAGAAAGAAAGGGAAACAGGAAGGCAAGACCTTAGTGACCGAGGTAAACCAAGGTGGTTACAGTCCACTCAAGTTCAGAACTTTTACTTGCCCTCCTCTCCCAAACGAGACACAACTTCCTGTATTTTGCTGCTGCAAATGGACCTCCTGTCTAGTTTCCCTGCCAAAAGACTTATTGTTCCTTCTCCACGAAGACTGCACAGGCCTAAGTGAGTAGAGCTGCTGCACATGGAGCCAGCCCAGCTCTGACTGGTCCCACTTGGTCTAGTCCTGTACCGAGTGTCCCTGCAGACCCAGGTACCCACCCCTGGATGCTACCCTTGGGAGGTGGTAGTGGGACTGGTGATGTGAAGAGAGAGGAGGGTGCTGGGTTTAAGACTCAAGGCATAGAGAGGGAGGGGGAGGAATGGGTGAGGACAGTCTCCTTTCCTGCATATTAATCCATGCTGAGATATGCTGAAAGCCAGACTGTGGAGAGTGGAGTCCTGAGGGGCCTGCTCTACCTGGGTCCATCAGGAGTAGAATTGTGAACTCCTCCAATCCATCAGCTCTGCCTCTTTTGGAAATAAACTTGGTGGGAGCAACTGCTCTGAAGAAACCTCATTAAATCTGATCCCAATCTCCCCAGGGACCAAGTTGGTTTGGAGAGAATGGGCCATTGGGTGTTGGGGGGGGAAATATTTGTACTTCTGTTCTTGGTATTTCTTAACAGTGATCAACAGTGTCCAATGCTGCAGTAAATATCCCTTTAATAAATCTATTTAATGTTAATTGGTTAAGGGGAATTGGGGCACTCATCATTGATCACTAGCCATGAGTGGAACACACCTGAATGGGGACTTGAGCCATTAGCATTAGGAAAAAACTGCAGCCCCTCAGGGGTGACCATAGAAACCTGAGGGGGAGATATAGTCAGTCTTGCTCTGACAGAGTGATGAAGGTCATCGTCCAAAAGGGTATCAGTAGGGAACCTGCAGATCTTCACAAATAACAGTCAACCATGAACATTTTTACCATTTCACTGTTAATTGTTCTGAGGTTTTAAAAGGTGAATAAAAGGATTACCCTCCTGTAGAAAGAAGGAAGAAGGTGGTGGAGCTTTAACATTTCTTATAATTGGTGTGCATGAGAAGAGTATACAAATAGACAGCAGGCATCAGATGAACTTCATTCTTACCTGAATTGAACAAGGGAGAGTTGAACACTCCCAAACATACAGTTTGTTGCAGAAATATATTAAACTCAAGAGGGAAACAAATAATGATGGAAACGGAATAGGTTCAGAGAGGCAATGGTGGGGGGGGATTATTGCAAGCACAACAAACTTCCTGATACTGAAGAAGGATTACAAGGGGCAGGGAGGGTAGAAAAGAACTAGAATCTAATGGGGCACCTTAGGCTGCCTGTTAGACAATGGGGAGGACAACTAAACAAATTGTGTTATATGAATGGAATGGAATGTTATTGTGCCATAAGAAATGACAAAAGAGATGACTGCAGAAAATCCTGGGTGGTATGAACTGATGCCCAACGAAGTGGCCACAACCAGGAGAACAATTTATACAAGGACAACATTGTAAAGAAAAACAACTTTGAAACACTTAAGAACCCTGATGTATGCACTGACCAACCATGTCACTAGAAGAACTATGATGAAGCATGTTATCTACCTTTTGACAGAAAGGTGATGAATTCCAAGGTGCAGGGGGAAAAACACTTATATTTTTGGACATGGCCACTGTGTGCATTGATTTTGTTTGGCTATGCTTATTTGATACAAGGGTTGTTTTTTTTCTTTCTCTTGGTTTTTGATTGGGAGAGGCTTGGGGGAAGGTTATCAATATTGATGGCAAAAAAAAGAAGGCCGTTTAACATTTTTTTTAAGTGCACAGAAGGGAACAGAAGAAAGTTTAGAAGGAAGCACAAACAAGCAGGACAGTAATGTGTGAAAATAGTCTTTGATATATAAATGGTTCTCTGGATGGGGGGAGGGATACTGGGAGAAATTTAGATGATGAAAAAGCAAAAAGTATCAATAAAAATTTATTTTAAAAAAAGAATGTGTGAAATTTATTTTAAAAACAAGCAGTATGAAATGGAGATTATAGCGTCATGTATGTAGCTTTCTCTTTGTTTTGCTGTATATCTGGAAATGTTTATTTTTTGGTGTTTATATTAAGAATAAAAATTAAATTTAAAAATTTAATATCATACGGTGCACAGTGGGGAGACTCATGGTGGTTCTAAGCAATGTGTGACATAGCCAGTAAGGAAATCCAAAGAACAGGAGTCATCCTGGAATTTTATAAGAGGAGGAAAAGATAGGCTGTCAGTCAATAAACATTTATTAAGCACCTGCTATGTACCAGGCACAGTGCTAAGCACTAGAGATACAAATATTTAAACCAGTCCTTGCCTCCATGGAGCTTACAATTGAATTAGGGAAGACAACACACAAACAGAAGCTGAAAAGTGGGGGAGGAAGGTACCTAGGGGATGATGGTGTCCCTTCTCTGTGGTGAATATATGGGAGGACATGGATAAGAGACACACAGGATGAGCAGACACGTGAATGGGCTGCCACCCATCCACATCATTGAAAGGTGTTTCTCAATCAGTGAGATCACAAAGCTGGTTAAGCACATCTGAATATTGTAGACATCGTGCATATTGTTCTCTTGATTCTGCTTTCTTTATTCTGTCAGTTTGTACAAATATCCCTATTTTTCTCTGAATTCATTGTATTCATCCTTTCTTATGACACAATAATATTCCCTTACATTCACAGAACATAATTTGTCTAGCCATTCCCCCATGAACACCTACTTTGTTTCCAGTTCTTTGCTACCACAAAAAGAAAGAGAGAGAAAGAAGGAGAGGGTGAGGGAGAGGGAGAGAGACAGAGAAACAGAGAGAGACACAGAGAGAGAGAGAGAGAGAAGGAGGGAGGAAGGAAGAAAAAATGTTGCTATGAATATTTTGGAGTATTTGACTGCCTGTTCCCCAATATGGGATCACTGGGTCAAAGAGTATTATTAGCAGCTTAAAGGCTTTTCTTGGGTAATTCCAAATTGTTTTCCAGAAGGTTTGGAACAATTAATATCTTTGCCTGCAGCATTATTAGTGTTGTACATGCGTATGAAGACTTTATTCCCTTATTGCTTAGGTACCTTCATGAAGTCTTCCTTTTTCATTCACCTTACATCAACCTTTTTTCCTCAAAAGCCCACAAACTTTAACACTAGGCACTCAAGCGAGCACCTGGACAGACCGTCCTGCCCTGTTTGTTATTGTTATGAGTGAACTCTGCCTCTGCAGCTAGAGTCTTACTTTTCTGTCTTTACACACCATAGCACAGCTTGCTGGCCTTTCTGCAGGGGTCATATTCCTTGGGCCAATTGATCTCACATCTAACCTGCGTCAAGTTATTCCCTTTACAGTATTCCCCTACTACTACCTTGTCTATAAAGCAAAGATTCTTAACCTGGGATCCATAAACTAATTTTGGAGGGTTTTTTGGGTTGTTTTTTAATTTTGATCTTTGTTTTTCAGTATAATTGGTTTCCTTTACAATAACATGCATTCTGTTTTAGGCATTTAAAACTATTATTTGGAGGAGTCCATAGGCTTCACCAGACTGCCACAGCAGCCCCCAACACAAAAATGTCTGAGAACCCCCTGCTGTAAAGGGCCCTTTTTGTTTGGGCCCCTTTTGGTTTCTGGTCATGAGCGTGTTGGTTTGGTAGCCACTTCTATTATCAAATCAATAAAATGTTTTCCTGTCTTCTCTCTCTTGATGTAGGCTTGTAGGGGATCAGTCTATAACCGAAAAAAGCAAAAGAGAAAGCCCCCAGGTCAAACT